GTATTAGACTGTGCGATTTTTGTTGCTTGGGTAAGTTTGACTAGTTTTTATATGTTTTTCATAAAATAAAATAATAAATTAACCTGAATCTACCCATATATAGGTATTAATCCAAATCTAATAACGGTTAGGGAAGAGGATGGTGGTTATACTGCCGAGGTTCAAATTGTACCGATGACTCCAAAAGGAACCCTTAAATCATAGAGAATATGCCTTGTTATAATATAAGTTTATGTAGAATTTGTATGTATTTTATGTATTATATATATATAGTTTTTAATTTGTGTAGCTTGTATGGTAATTTTTTAGTTAAGCTTTAAATATCCATATATATTATTGCATATTATTATTTATTCTTAATGTAGTAATATGTTTGCTTAAATAAACTGAGTTTAACAAATACTGTAAACAGGACTAGAAAGTGTTTCACGAGGTATCTCAATTAGCCGCAATAATTACTGAGCAACATTTCGATCACTAGTAAAATTTGATATAGAACCTCTTTTTGAACGAAAATTTCCTCCTTGTGCTTCGCCAACAATCTTTATTTCTTTTGTAATTCATAGATATGTAATACATTTTATGTACAGACATTACTACATAAACTTTTTTTTAAAAAAAAGTTTGTGAAGTAGCAGCTACAATTTCTAAATGTTTCGAGGAAAAAATAGTAAGGGTTTAAAAATAATGACTTTCTAGCATAATAAAATCCTAACGTTATAGATAATGTAAATTTATACTAATTTATTGATTTCGTTTAGAAGTAAATTTCTCAAATTGACTAAACCACTAAAACTATAATATCAAAAATATACATATTTATTTCAAACGACAGTGAAAATAAATCAGATATAATATTTGCGCTCAAAAGACTCTACCAACGTGTTAATAGGATTTTCATCTGAACAATCAAGCTCTTCTATATATTGACAACCTAATTCTAAAAGATTAGGAATACTTTCATGGTCATCTAATCCTACCGGTTCTTCAAAAAAGACTTGCCATCTTTGATAACGATTTCCTAAAATATTATACATTTCACGATCTGTGTTACCTTCTTGTCCAGATATCATCAAATTGGGAAGATTTTGTGCCCAAAAAAGTTGATGTCTAT